GCTGAAAAACTCTACTTTTAATAACAACAGAACTAATGCTAGTTGCAAAATGAAGATAGCATGTGATGTATGCGATGTTGACAAGGGAATTTTTTTAAAAATATTTTTTTATTGAACAAAGTGAATAAGACTATTTAAAAAAATCAACGGAATAAACTTTGAGTCAGAGGCGAAGCAGATTGTTTTAGTAAGTGAGAATGAATAAATAAAGCCTTCGACAACAGGCTTTCAAACATCAATTTTGGACTACTTAGAAGGATATTCAAATGACTCGTTAACTGTTTTAAATAATAATCCGAAAATTATTTCATCAGCAATGAATGAAAAAGTTAAATCGTTTTTAATAAAATACTAAAAGCAAATACACTATAGATACATGAATGTATATTCTCAGTCTAGATAGCTTAGTTAATAGATGTTTAACACTTTACATACTGTAAAATTATGCATTTGCTTAATAGATTCTTTTTTGGATTCATCTGATTTCTTAGGCTGGCTAACTCGATTATGTAGTCATCTTATTTGCACCAATGATCATTTATTAATTTAGAGCAAAATAATTGCTTTCTGACCTAAATTATATATAATTTATTTAGTAATCTTAAATTTACTTTGTTATTCCTAGATATGTGTGATATCCCTCTCCAAATGTAGAATTTATTTGATAAGATTGATTAAGTAGATAGCAATACCTTCAGCAATAGGCTGTTCAATTGATACATTTCCAAAAATTTGGCCAACCTCGCAATCGGCATTTAAGTGAGCCATATCATTCCTAGGACTAATTTAGTGCAAGTTAAATTCATATTTTGATCAACTTTTTGCCTTAAAATTATATCTCTTTTCCATCTTGGCACATTTGCTATCTCATATCCTAGCATGCAATCCTTTAAGCACTATACATAAATACCTTAGACAACAGATTACCTTCAGTTATTTATTCTCTTTCTAGCGTAAATATAGGAAAGATGTTCTTCCAGAAATGGTGAGCGTTAGTAATCACTGATCTCAAATTACTTTTTTACTATTAAATTGAGGAAAGTATCTAATTCTAAAATACCGTATTTTATGTTAGGTTTTACTGCGGGCCCTTTGAACTAAATTATAGTTTTGTAAAAATTAGCATTTAATAGTAAATATTAGGATGCAGGCAAAACTTACACTATAATTGTCATTTTTAATCACAGGTATCTCATAGCAGTTCATATAGATTTTACGAACTTGCGTTTGCATATTTCCTTCTATTTGAGGGTTAGATTCTTGTAAAACTTTTAGTTCAGCCTCACTAATATGTGGCATGTCATTTGCTTCATTTCTTCTCCATAGTTTATGCGCTACCTCTTCGCCAGCTTTACAACAGTTAACAAATGTCATTTGGCCAAATTGACCTTCTTCCATCTCTAAGCTCGTCCGCCCGAACAGATTGCCGGCCTCAGCCTCGGGGACCGAGGAGACGAAAGATTCACCCATCGCTTTTGCTGAAAGGAGTGGCTGAGATTTTTGCAATGAAACTGTATCATTTTCACTGTTTAATCGATTCAGCGGAGGAATTGTTGCCTTGACGAGCTTCTGAATGTCATTATTTGAGGAATTGCTTATTATCTCATTTATAGACCCACTGTTTTTATCTATCGTTTCTATTATATCTCTATTGCCATTATAATAGGACGGATTCTGGTCATTTTCCACATTATTTTCCAAGGATGCATTATAGCTGGTCTCATTTATAAGGCTAGTTCTTTCTTTGTCAATTCCACTGCTTAATTGGCCATCATAGTTGTTGGAACTTTGTAAATCTGCACTATAAATTGGCGTATTCAGTCTCAATTGACTCAGTTCAGTTGTCGTGGAGACCTCATTTGCTGGGTTTGGGGACTCTGACTCCTTATGCCACCACCAGGCATACACAGAATTCTGGATGGACGCAGCTAAACAAGCTGCGATTAAAAGGAGCCATGCAGCCGGAAGCATTCTGGTTCACTAGACCGAAAGGTTAATTCACCAGCGGCTGATCAAGGTATGAGAACCTAAATTGAAATTAAGGAAAAATTAAATATAAATTTAGGATTCCTGATGGAACTATATTCTGTTTAGTAATGAATTTTGTAAACTGTAAGCAATTTCTGCAGTGATTACTCTCAATATTTTTTTCTTGATAACACCGATATCACTTTACGGTGTAATATTTCACACTGCAAAATTGTCCTTTAACTCGATTTTTCCCTATTTCTAATAGAATTGGGAATATAAATAAGTCTGATAATCAAGATATATTATTAGGGGGAACTTCATTTCGAA